TTTGACGCGAAAAAAAAGGGGATGAAAGGTGCTTTTTGTCGTCCTGGTAATTGGCAACTCAGCTGTAGAAGTTAGCCTGAAATTAGCTAGTTGATGTACGGCTCAAATACTCAGTGGAGGAGGGTACGCGCTGTCAGCGGTTGTTCATTTTTACATAGAGAGTGGTGCAGGTGTTATCAGGGTAAAAGTGAGAGGGGGTGGGGGGTGGGACTGACCGTGAGAGGGTTTATAATCATCCTACGTTGTGTCGGTTTCTGCTTTTGTATTCTTCATTTTATACGTGAAGCCTATTAGATCACTATTGATCCAACGTATACCAGCAGGATCATCGTTCCGGTTGCTTGCTTAAACATTTCATAATTGTCGACACTTGGTTACTAAGTACGTGAAGCAATTTGTCTGCCTTGAACGTCCGTTACCTTCCGTCTTTAGAATGCAACTAACGCTGCATAAAACCACTGAAAGCGCAATGTTTTCTCAGTTTTCATTACATTCATCTTTAATTCAGTTCAGTAGTTCCGTACGGCATCGCTGGTCTTTCCTCGTCTTATTATCATGAAAATGTGAACACATCAAGTCACACTTTAGTTGCCACACAATAGTGCATGTTTTAATTTGTGTTTTGCTCTGATTGCGTGTTGTGCATTGAAGCAAAGTTTTTCGTTCCTGTTGGGAGAAGGATGCCACGGAAACCACCTAATTTTAATTACTCTTTCAACCTTGAGTGCTTTTGTAAGTCGATCAGTAACTCTGAATCGTGTAAATGACATGAGTTTAAGCCGGATTGCACGAAACTACTCGCAACTTTATTTCCAGCTTCTTTATTCCCATCGGTGACGGGAATTTTCTTGTAATAAGAAAAGGTGTCTTTATTTTACACGCGCAAGGACCATAAAGTTTTGACCATGCTTTTAAATATCCGAACAATTACTATTGTTACTCATACAAGCAAATGTAGGACCCGTGCTTTGACTTGCGTGAAATTTGTTCGTAATAACAGATCGTACTTGATATATTGAGCAATCGGGCCCATGTGTCCGGCAATTTTGCAGTGGTCGCCCGGAAAAGGCCCCTTTTTAACCTATGTAGAATTAATCCAAACTTTACTAATCTTGACGATAAATCTTACCAAAACCCAGCAAGAGGAAATGTGCTTTCCTGATATAATTTATCATAAACGCATACATTTTTAAGAACATTAACAATATATCTGAATTATTTACTAAGGTAAATAAACTCAAGTGGCCAGATGGAAGAGCCATATATTAATCAAGGAAAAAAAAAAAACAGTCTTGAAATCAGAAATCCATATCTGTTCTCATGAAAAGGTTCAGGCTTGGTTCAGGACCCCCAGTGACCGGCTGGACGGCGGGTGAGCTCATAACACAATAAAACCAAAGAGTATTTTTTTATAGTAAGCACTTATTTTTTATCTTGAATTTTTCCTGGCTACCTCACATCCATTTTGAATTAATCGACAAAATAATTCGATTTGCAAGCGTCTTGAATTTTCAAAAAGTCAAGAAAACCTCACAGTTTTTAATGATGGAATATTGGCCCATTCACTGGAACTAATGTAAGGATTTCTTTTACGTTTCGATTATACCAACGGGAGAATGAACCAGAAAGGGCTACTTTGTGCTTTTTTTACGGTACTTTATGATGCATCATGATGGTAAAGCCGACTGAATACTTCAGTAGCGGTTTTCACTTAGATAAGAAAATAAGCCAAAACTTTGATCAATCAGTGGCTGCGTGTTACAATATTATTTACACTATTTTGTTTATGAGGATCCACACACAGTATTTTCAGAAACTATGACTAACTATATATCATGTTTGAACCACAAAAACTCTGTCTGAGATCTACATTATCTAAGCAACCAAATCTTATGTAAATTGCTGAAGTGATGACAATAAACATTATGGATGAAGTATTAGCAGCGACACCAGAAACACTTCTCTTTCTTGTTAAGTCTCCCGGATTTGAGTAACTTTGCCCTTGCCATTTTCTCAGCGGCGGAGAAATATGGTCGCACCTCAAGACTGTGTGCCAAGTGCCAAAATATCTCTGATCACAAAGTGAGAATTAAACGACCAAATTCAGTCTATTTAATGATTTGTGCTGTACTTCAGTCTCTTCTTGGGTGGGGCGGAAGAGGGCTAGATAAAACAAAGGCAAAGAGTAAACGTTTAATTGGAAAAGCCAGATAATAAATAAGGTAAGGTACTTTTAAGGTAGAGCATGAATTGTTTTCGTTTGGAGCACTATGATAACTCTATCAATTTGATGAATTTAATCAGAGCTAAGAATATGTGCAAAACAGTTTCTCTAGGCTCGATTTCCACCGCTCATTCGAGTCCGGTCTCTGTTCCTCTCCGAGAAGAGAGGGGTGGAACGTGGAAAGGGGAGAGGAGAAGCGTCGCGACTGGTAATCCACAGTTTCACTTGAGTTTCAGATATCTGGCGTACCTTGGACATACCTGTTACTTGGCTCGGAAGGAATTTGTTCAGCTGTTGTTAAGTAAACATGTCATTTCTAATCAATTTGACAGCCCTGTTCGTTTCAGTTGACAAGTGGTCGAGAACTTTCGCTAAAATTCTTTTATTATCACGCATAAGGCTACAGAGTGCGTGTGTATGAACAGGCGGAAGAAACCAAAGCACTAGTCACGAGCCGTACCGAACACAATGTTCTCATGATTTTCGTGCTACAATAGCAAGTATGCTTCACGGGTTTCAAAGCGAAACTTCTATCTATATGGTTTTTGAAATTAAATATGTCTTGTCAGTATTTATCTCTGGATCTCGCTTGCGTACTAAATTACTTTTATTCATTCAATTCTGCCCACTCAGCAACCAAAGCTAACCTGTTAAAATTCTTTCAAGCTTCGTTCAGGTTTCTGCATGGAAACGCGAATAGTACAGCAATCAGGATGTCACTCCTCCCTCAATACAGTGTCACGTCAACTGATTGAAGCTGTATTTTTATACACTGGAATTCTCCCAACTTTTGGCGCAACATGTGGAAATTAGTTTGGGGAAAAGTGTACTTAAACACAGTGGTATCATATTACCTTAATGATAACGTGTCACGCTAATTCCGAAGCGTTTGCATTTGAGTAGTGACTGATGCGAAATATAACTATCGATTGTTAATTGTATGTACATATTAAAGGTATTGGATAAGCCGGTGGATAGCTGGGTGTTCTTCCTTCCTGCCCTGAAAGCCGGATTATTATTCTCTGTGACCGCAAAATTACTGTGATAGCCTATTGGCATATTCACATTTCTTTTGAGCAGTTGAAATTTAAATGCGTGTTCAGAGGAAACAATTTGCTCCATATCAGTATCACATGGTTGTCATGTCAAGCTGAGTCAGGAGGACGCGTTGAAGAATAAGCGACAAAATAATTTGCCGTAAAATCCTCCTGTCAAGAACCGAACTGAGTAAAGTAAAATATTAATCTCTTCAAGCATTGAGTTGTTGTTTCAGCTGAGAGTTCAAGGTGAAACCATAGTGGCCCTATTAGCGTTGGGTTGGCTATTAAAGGGCTGGTTCGCCCCCAAAACCATTACGTCATAAATGACACACTGTTATAGATTCTTGTACTGGTTCACTCAATTTCTTGGCCCAATTTTGACGGGTTATCAGATGCTTTCTATTTTGAGTAAAACTGTCTGCGCTATTTCTTCGATTTGCATCAGATATTAATTATTCTATTATTTTGTTCTTTCATTTTAGCGTGAATCGTCGCTTAATGGTTTTCTTTTTCGTGCAACAGCTACATATTGTTCCGACTTTCTATAGCGATAATTTTAAGCGGTGGCTGAATTATATATTCAAGGGCCCATTCATCGATTCAAGGCTGTCTGTGTAAGCCTCAGATTTTCTTTTCAAATGCCACGAACTTTGTGCTAACGAGATTCTGGCTTGATAGGGAATAGACAAATGGGTTTAGGCTCCAGTACATAACCCTAGAATAACCCTGGCGATTCTCACGAGCACGTATGAATTCTCAGTCCCTTCAAAAGCGATCAAATACTGAGCTCATAAATGCATTAAGATTAACAACAGCCAGGTTTGTCCAGCTTGGAAACCATCTCATTATTCGATCGTTCGATATGAGCTAGTCAGTTGTTCCGGCCCAGTCTGTTCCCTCGTAACGGCTTTCGTGCAGGAACTGTGCTTGTGTGGGCGAAATGAGATGCTCCGTACTGTTTTATTTGAAATGGATTTTAATCACTGTTCGTGTATTAAGTCAAATACATGTATGTAGTAAATGACAACTCAAGCTCAGAAAAATCATTGACATCCGCGAGGAAACAACCACATTGCGTGCAGAACAGTTCAGGAAGAAGTCCTATCGCCTATGAATTATTCACAGCTGCCCTAAGCCACAACGATTAAAGGAAAAAACTAACAATAGGTCGTCATTATTTACTCTGCGCGCTTAAGGTTTTTTTTAAACTTTTTTTTAGCACTTAAATAAGCAAATATTTTGACAAATCCACTTCATTTCTTACCATTTCACTTTTACACCGACTCGCTGCCCTTCGCCGCGGTACATTAAAGTCACGCGTCAAACAGACTGAACTAGAAACGCAAAAATGTAGTATTTTGCGGAGCTATCGTAAAACAGAATAAGAGCAAGGCACGGAATGCGCCTCACTTAATGGGCTTTCTCCGGTCAAACCGACATTTAGTAGTATTGAGATCTGATGATGTATTCAGAATTGACAACATGGCGCTAAAAGCTGTGCAATGAGCACGAAATAAAAACTAAGATTAACGGTAAAAAAATCAACAAACGGAACAGTCCGACGATGTATCAAACTTAAAGCAAAGGTCTTCGGTGTCTGCTATTTTGTTTTTGTGCATTGTTAAACGCAATTTTAGTTTTCGTGACTTCCTCCTTATTTATCCGACGAGACATCATGTTTAATTGTCGTCTGCGACTGACTGGACACGAGCACGTGCACTATTACGTCATCTGACGGTCGCCGGTCACACAACAGTTGCCTTCTATTGCCCAATATGGCGGACACGCGGCTCTATGAAATTCTCGGTGTTACGCCAAATGCGAGTGATGTAGAGATAAAAAAGGTAAACTGGGTGGATTTTTAAAGTGTAGAATAATCTTTTGAGGTTTCTTTGTCGACTGTTGTGATTTTCACTGCTTTAAAATCATCAAATTCGTCAGGCTTACAGGAAGCTCGCGAAAGAGTATCATCCCGACAAAAATCCGGACGCTGGCGACAGAGTGAGTCAGTTGCTTTGCAGTTATTCATTTTTAAAACCGATAATTTAGGTATGTAAGGTTCTAAAATTGGAATTTAACCTTTTGTCTTCAGTTTAAGGAAATAAGCTTTGCTCACGAAGTTCTTTCGAACCCTGAAAAACGAGAACTTTATGACAAATATGGAGAGAAAGGACTTCGCGAAGGTGCTGGTATGGGTAAGTCATTTGGAAACCGTTTAAATCCTTCTTTTTAACTTCATTTGTACCGACCTTTTTATGCCTAGACTTTACAAATTGACCATAATTTGCTTTCCGCTTTAAATGTGACGTATTATCCTCCATGTTTGACTCAAAGGAAGCTTTAGTTGAGTTGATTTGCTCTTTCGTTTACGTTTCATCTTGTCACTTTCTCCTCATAGTTTTACCTTTTTTACTTATACTTTTGTTCAGGTGGAGGTATGGACGATCTCTTGTCGCATATTTTTGGTGGTTTTGGCGGTGGAATGTTCGGTAAGTCGATATTTTGATCGTGTTGGCGCCTGAACATTTACTGTCCTAAGCATGTTTAGAATGGAGGAAAATGCCAAAAAACGAATCTTAACCGGAAGTGGATTAAGCTAAGAAGCAAAGAAACTGACAAATCATTTAGTCTTTTCACGACTCTGGTAAGTCGCAAATATCAAATTGGCAACAATTTGGCAACATGCTTAAGTGACGAACGTATTTATTGAGTTCCACTGCGACCATGCCTTGCCAAAGCCCTGAAAGGAACAGTAAGTCGTCTTTTGTGAAGATATTGGTGTCGAGACTTCGATATCAGCCCAGCTTCTGAAAATCGGTGATGTATTAAGAACATTCCATCCACATTTGCGGCTCCTTTGGGTTAGCTACGTCATAAAATAATCCTTTTATCTTGTTTAGCTGGGGGAATTTCTATAATGCCCCGTTCTTGGGAAATTTCAACCCCTTTTGCGAGGCAGAAATCTCTGACATTAGCTAACATCTGAATTCTACGCGTAGATATGTACACGAAATTCAAATTTTGGCATGCGATGAATTCGTTGTGCAACCGTTTTCCTCTAAACTATAACATGATAAGTGGCTATTTTGTGGAATCGTAATATTACTGTAAGTGTCACCATTGGTAATGAATTCATGTAGAAATCTAGACTTTTATTATGTTGTCGAACTGTGGAAAATTGATGACCCTCGATCTCGGGGTAATTTTCGCTGAAAATAGAACTCTTTGCATAGCGTTACAAATATCTTGTCACCAAGGAAACCAGTGGCAAATTGGGGACATTCGTACTTCACATCATTCGCAACTTGAGCAGCAAGTTAATATTAAAGAACAGCAAAAGAATATTATAGAACAGGAAGGGAATATTTTAGAACAGTGAGGGAATATTATAGACCTTATAGTGCATGTTCTACGTGGAACATGTACATTCCAGGAAATATACTGTATGTTAATTTCAAGTCTTACTTATGCAATCTAACATGCCATAATTATATTTGTTTTTGATGAAAAAATAATTTATCCTTTGTAATTGATTGTTTCACCAACAGAAGGAATGACTGCTGATCTGTAATTAAGTTTGTGTTTTTTCATAAAACGTGTTCTGATGATCGCTTCTTGAGTGTAATTGGTTAACTGTTGTGATATCTAAAAAGTGCTTTATTTTTAGCAACAATTTTTTTAACCAATTATTTTGTGCTATATTCATTCACCCTTTGACATGTACAGTGTGATCACACATGATGAAAAAAAAAAAAATCCTATTACAATTTAGCATGACGTTTATTATACATGTACATATATCACCTTCACACGCAAATATTAAGCATGCGGAAATTACATTTTCCTTCAGTTAGTGAAGAGTCAATCTTTAAGTAAAAAAAATAAACCAGAAACAGAAAACTAACAGCCTTTGTTTTACTTGTGAGTAACATTTCTGCCTTTTTTTGGTTTCAGAAAGCAATTGTAATACTGAAAGATTTTTAACATGTTTAACCTTTGATTTAGATAGCGTACAGAGTACATGCAGAAGGAGATCTTTTCCATCCAATAAAAAAGTGAAGTTTACAAAGAATGCTGGTTTCTTGCTGTGTTTGTTTTACAATTGTGTACTTCTATTCAATTCAGCTATGCTATGGCTAAGTTATAGCTAAACAAAAACACAAATTATTTGATTGTACTGTCACACCTAAAACTATTCTAGTGCTAACTTGATGTGAGAGATGCTCAAGATCATAAAATCAAGTAACTCTTGATTATTACTATCTTGGACCAAAAAACTGTAATTTCTAGTAATATTGAAGTCATAATTTCTCATAAGAACATCATTTTAATTCAATGGTTTAGAAGTTCTTCATTAAAATAAACCATTTGGAATATTACAATATAAAAAAAGGTTATATATAATAGCTGTGTTGTTTTGTCAGTCATGTATTGAAGTCTGACTTTCTACTTGGTTCATTTTAACTAATGGTGTTTGGCTAACATGTCATTTCACAGTGTTTTCATACTAGGTATATATACAGGTCATAACCTGCGATGAAAAAGTGCAAAGTTGATTGTAATTTTTTTCTACAGTTATAGCTTGACAAGTGTCAGCAGACTAATAGATAGTTTTTGCTACATCCTTGGAAAACCAACCTTCTGATATCATGTGAAGAACTTCAATTTGATGATCATGTTTATCAATTCTATATTTGCACCTGGTCATTATATTTACATTACTTTCTATGAGGGTGACCTTTTTTTGTGGCTTGTGTTTTGTTTCATTACACTACATACTTGAATGTGGACTGCAACATTTACTTAATTCTGGTCTCCATCAGGAGATAAATTCTCTGATAAATTTGTGTATTAGCATTTGTGATAAATGGTCTTACAAATCGTAATACATAACTGGTTTGCCCTGTTAGCTGATGAAGATCTGCAGGAAGCAGTTGAAATATTGTAATCCATCACGAATTCACTGTTTAATGACAACAAACAAAAGCTATTGACATAGTACATAGTAACTAGTTTCTAGGTATGCTTTGAAGGCAAAATTTAAAGGCAAAAAAAATCATGGAAGTGTATGAAAGGTGTTCAAATTTAAGACTAGCTGTAATTACATTGATCTCTCAGCAATTCAATAATGTGAAGTGATGCACTGTGATTGTCAGTTTATAATGAAATTTAAACAGAGGTTTTCATACCCATGAATTTAAGGTGGCCGAACACAGTTTTCGCACACGCTTTTGCCGATGCGATTCAGCGTGCGCACAAGGATTGTAAAAAACAAACATGCTGTCAATAGAGCGATCACTTTATTTGCCCAATGCCCGCATTATCTGTGCTATTTTTCTCTAGAATTGAACACAGTGTATTGATGGTTTTAATCTTTTATTACAAAGATTTTTTTTTATAGTTTATGTTATTGATAAAAACATATTACAATATTGCAACAAATTACAAAAGTAGTACAAAAAAGAGGGTTGTTACAACTGATAACATACTAATGAAAAATACAAGTAGTCGATAATGTATATGATAGTAAATATTACAAACAATATGTTTCTCTAGCTTTGTACAAATGTATATAGCCGGGGGAAAGGGCAACATGGTCACGTCAAGTCATCTGTCTATTTCAAGCTGGATAATAAATTTAGATATGAATTCAGAAGTATCTTGTTTCTTTTGCATTGTTTTGCAAGCATAGTGGTATTGCTTTGTATATAACAGAAGAAGACGCAAATCCTTTGTTTGGTTATCAGAAAGATTGGTATTTGGTGTTGGTAAATTGAGAAAGCATTGTAGCGGGTTTAGGCTGTAAATTATTGAACCATTGAAGAGACTCGTCACATAATTTCAAGAGAGATTGACAATGAAAGATATGTTAGAAAAGGTAACGTTGCAAAGAACCCAGCAATTCTTAGCTTTTGCATTGTTACCGAAAGAACCCAGTTAAATGCAGCACATGCGTAGTAAGTAAAAGAATTGTGACTGAATGAAAAATTGCTTTCTCGAAAATACGCCTTTTTCTCCAGAACCACTCATTAGAATTTCATGAAATTTGGCATGAAAATACTTTAGGAAATACGTAACTAGAGCATTGAAAAAAAGTGAACTTTAACAGAGGAAATTCTAGATATTCCTTTGAACCTTCAACAAGGGATAATTAAAGATCTCTTTGCTAAATTATTATCAAAATGGTGTTAACTTGCGAGTATTGTTACAGGCTTGCTGAATGCAAATTATAAAGAAAACCTAATGACTAGATTTTCTACTAATCGACAAAAGTGATTTTAAAGGCCCGTTTATATTTATTCATGTTGCCATGGCAACAGCACATACGTCAGCTTAATTATCAAAAAAACAAAGTTTGTGTTGTTAACTTGCTTGTTGCCATTTTTGGCGACCGAGGGATCAAGGGTTTTAGAGAAAAAGGTGAATGAAACACAGGCATCAAAAACTGCGTTGAGCCACCTTAAAAAGTAAAGGAATGATGTTACAACATCGTTGTTTTAATTTGGCCAAAAGAATGATACATACAGCTTTAATGTAATGATTAAGTCACATCTATTTGTTACACTGTGATTTGGAATAGATTCATCATAAAGGCTGGTTTTCACTAGCGGAGTTTGTGGAGGACTTATGACCTATTGAGATAAAAAATTGGAGTCATTAATAGCAGAGTCATAAACTCAACAGAATTGGAATTGGAAGAATCAGAATGTTTCCATTTCTTCTGATTTCATTTACGACTCCTTTGCTTGTGATCCAATGCAAACTAGATTGTAGGAATAGAAACCAGAAGAAGAAACACCAACTAATCACAAGGCCCTGAAACAAGTATTATGATTTCTTTATTCTTAGTTTTCAATAGATCATAAGCGAGAGAATTATGAGCGCAATTGGTATTCTGCTTCTGACTCTGTCAGCTTGATTTTCATTAGATTGTTTCACTCTGTGCCTCTGATTTCGACTCTGCCGCTTATGAAAACCAGCCTTAATGTATCAGAAAGACAGATATCCTATGAGATTCTCACTTAGTTAATAATGTTCCCTTCTAGTCCTTCCCTGCTGCTTTTCTTCTTTCTATTTTGTGATATATGATTTATTGCTTTTGTGTTTTCATATGGCTCATAATTTGTGCAGTGAAAATGGATTAAATTAAATTAGAAATTAAATTAGTAATAACTATTGTCAGTCTAGTAATGTGTGGTTTGATCTACCATCTGATTGGTTCAAGTGCAGTTGACATGTCAAGTTCACCCTTTTTACATTCATGTGACAAACATTATCACTAATGAGAAGATGACATCTTACATCTGTAATTTAATTAAAGTGTAAAAGATGTCTAAATTGAATGTTGTGAACTTTAGGAATAATAAGCATCAGATTGTTCATTACAGTGAATCCAATGCAATTTACTCATTTTTTAGGTGGTGGAGGGTTCAGACAGAGAAGAAGGCGAGGAGAAGATCTATTTCACCCTTTAAAGTAATGTTTATTTCCATGTGATTCACTTGTTGCTACACAAACACTTGAACCGTCAAACCCTTTTTAAGTGGCCAGTTCAGTAATGGCAAATGGCTCCTTAACAGGGGTTAGACAGAAAGTAGTATAAAGTGTGATATAACTACATGTACGTGTATGAACAGACATAATTTCCTTTGAATACAAACTCATTTGGTGGCTTGTGACAACTGTTCCATATAATAGGGATGGTCTCAACGATCATCTTTGGGCACAAAAAGCAAACACTTGGAAAATCAAAAGACCATGTTGGTGATAAAAGAAATGCCTTTGGACAATGAGAGATGTTTTTATCAGCCATCCCCTTCTATTCTGGAGTCTTATCTGTCATCAGTTTTTCTAAAAACAATGTCAAACTATGTGTATTCATGGTAGCCATTTGATAGGGGTAAAAACACCTCTTGCTGCCTAAATCAGGTGGTGGCTTACTGTAATATGAGTTTTATGAACAGTCTCTATTTACATCATTGGGCGAATTTGCTTCAAAAATTGAAGATAGAAGGGAAATAAAATGTACTGTAACCAGCACAACTACAGGTTGTTTCTTTAGCTTGAAATAAGCTGGATTTTTCAGAAGACTGTTAGACACATGAAAATAACACAAGACTGCCACAGTACTGTATAAGTGATGTTCAAATGAAAGAAGTCAAAATGTACTTGTAAGATAATATTATATGAAAACTGTCAGGAATAAGAGCCAAATTATTTGACAGTTGATGAATCTGCCAGTCAATTTGCCCTGTGCCCGGTCATTAGTGAAACCCTGCATGCAGTCCTGTACAATAGAATAAATCCTGCATATTTATTGTGCATGTGCATGTAATTTGTGGCATATTTGTGCAAGCTTAATCATTATTGTTTTTGCAGAGTTACATTAGAAGATCTTTACAATGGAAAGTCAACCAAATTGCAACTCAGTAAGAATGTGATCTGCACAGTGTGTAAAGGGTAAGACAAAGAAGACATTTGTGCCTTATATTGAGGATAATAGTGAAACTCTAATCAGAAGAAAGGTGCAGGTCTTAAACAAAGGCGATAATTGCAGTGTGACTACATTGTACTTGAACCAGGCCACCAGAAAGAAAAGTATCCAATCAAATTGAGAACAATGGAGTGCTTTTTTTTGTGAAGGTAAATAAGGGTCTGTTTGACATGAATGCATGATTACGATCCACACACACTCGTTTGTGTTACAGTTTGTACATGTATATACACACTACAGCTTCAGTCTTTGATGATGAATTACTTGTATCATAATTATAAATTTCGCTTGGAAAATTTAGTTGGCGACAACCAAACTGAAACCATTGGAAAACACACAAAACTTAGGATTGAAACTGTGGCAATCCACACTTTCATCAGGTTTCCAATTTTGTTGTGGAACTATTGTAAGTTTGTATTCTTCAATGTTATTGGTTTATTTAAGAAAAAGGTAGCTATCCTTTGTTCAAAAGTAACAATCTGATTGATTAACTCTTCTTTCCAAGAGGCCCAGAGCTTTCAGTTCTTATAGTTCAGGTGGTTGACCTGTAAGAAGTTAATAAAAGATTGTTTTTTTTATCCTCGTTTGAGTGAAACTTACAGAATACATATATGTTTGTTTATGAAATAATAAATGCAATGACTCTGTGCTCCAGTTGAGCATACTGGTTATCAGGCTGCAAGTGTTAGCTATTTTACAAAACAAGGAAATCAGTTTGTTTGTAGCATGTTTTGTTACAGTACATTACATTTTCTTGGCTTGGATTTGACTTTCTTGATGGTCCTGTGAAAAACAAAACAAACATGAGCATATTTTTGGCAGGGCTGGTGGAAAAGCTGGAGCTGTTCGGACTTGCCCAGGGTGTAAAGGGCGTGGCATCAAGGTGACCATTCGTCCGATTGGTCCTGGAATGGTGCAGCAAATGCAGACGTCTTGCAATGAATGCAGTGGTGAAGGTAATAATTTTTTTTTATATATTATGAGTTGTTCATTGATGCAAACACTCTCTGCAAGTACAGAGAACATTCATGTAGGATGTGCATAATGATGAAGAACCATGGTCGATTGAAGTAGTCTGACAATTTTGTTTGACGAAATGTCCATGCTGCCTTCCTACTGATTGCACTTCAATCATGATCAATAAAATCAACTAACTCGATATCAAAGAATACATGTTGCCTTCCTGAAACTTTCTGCACTTTGTGTTACATGTAGCTTTTGCTGATTATAGCTGCCTCCTTTAGTTAATGTCAGCTGTTTGCAGTCATGTTAAATTATGCAGCATTTATAATTCATTTTAATTGGCTTGTTTTATTCTTAGCTTAATTATGTAGTTGTTTGTTTCATAATTATTTTTATTGTTTTTATATTATAATTTGTAGATAATTATTATATTAATTAGTATTGAGGGCTGCAGATTATTAGTGCTAAGCACCAGGTAGTATAACCCTCTTGAAATAAAGTTATTTCATAAAAATGAAAATTACTAAATAAATACTGTATTGTCAACATTGTATGAAAGACAAGGTCCATGTACAATGTCAGATAATCAACAGTTGTTGAACTGAGTGAATCATTGCAAGTAAGCTTATAGAAAGGGAGATTCTTTCACCAGGAGGATTGTTTGTATTCCAAGCCATATCACTTATTGTGCTTTGTGATTTTTCAGGTGAGGTACTCAATCCTAAAGACAGGTGTAAGAAATGCCAGGGTAAAAAAGTTGTCAAAGAAAGCAAGATATTAGAGGTAAAGTACAAGCATATGCCACTACATGCATTGAAAAGTAAAGTAGATGAAAATCTGTAAGCCATAGGACATGCGAGTCACACAGATACCTTACATGGTGTCAAGTGCTTCTCTGAACAGACGGAAACAAGAGCTACATGTATAGTAATTCTTGTGATTGTTCTCTGCAGGTTCATGTAGACAAGGGTATGAATGATGGTCAAAAGATAACGTTCAGAGGGGAGGGAGACCAGGAGGTAAGCCAAACCTTGTGGCACACAGCGAGGGAGGTTGTAGATCTACAACTGTTATACAATAATTTGTTACAGGAATTAAAACTTAACTTTGGCAGTATTAACCATCTAGCTGAGTAACCTTAAAAAATTCCTCCCCCCCCCNCAAAAAAAAAAATGTATAGTTTGTATCCACAAGCCCAAGGATTTTATATTTCATGGAAACTAAATTTTTGGTTTCATGTCCAGCAATCATGGGAAACAACTGCTAATCTCTCTCCTCTGCAGAGGCCTTTTTCATGCTGCCTTGACCATGTAAGCTGGTAGTTTGGAGGCTGGGGAGAGGGAAGAACGGAAAAGTGCTGGGAACACTGGGAAAAGAGAGGCCTCTGCCATCGTCCCCCGCATGCCTTCTCACTCTCAATTCACTTCCCCTTCCCCTAGGGAGCCTCTGTGGAGGAGAGAGACAGTAAATGGAAAAAAGGGCATCCAAAATGTGCTTCAGGGTCTGCCCAAATAAACAGTAAGGCAACATGGAAAATAAAACAATATTCCTAACAAAGTGACTGTCCACAGGATGCCTGGACACCCATTTGGCTAAAAGCCTGCATAAGATAACATTCATGTATCTTGACTAGCATAAATAGTGTCATGGTCTTGAAATGAACACATAATAATTACATTTTCTTGAATGTTTATTAATAAATGTTTTCAATATTTATTCATAAGGAAATTTTGCTTGTCTGTTTTCTTGTGGATATCATGTGAAATTAAACATACAAACTGGACAATTCCCATTTAGATGTTGTTATGTTTTTGTAGCCTGGTGTGGAACCTGGTGATGTTATTCTGGTCCTGCAGCAGAAGGATCATGATTTGTTCAGCCGTCAGGGAGACGATCTGTTCATGACAAAGAAAATTCATCTAGCAGAAGCACTGTGTGGCTTTCATATGGTGATCAAACACCTTGATAAGAGAGATTTAATTGTAAAATATCCAGCTGGACAGGTTATAGAGCCAGGTTAGTGCAGTAATCCCTACAGGGAATAATAAGAACATAAAGGGCCATTGGCACAATAAAGTGCATACCTGTGCAATAGAAATCGTGTCAGCTTGGAGTTTCACCTGCCTTTCAAAAATCTCTTTTATCTGTTGGCTTTGGATCTTTCGTTCATAAAGAATATTTATCATGTTTATGTTGTGTGAGGGCTATGTCCGTTGTATACAAGCACACATGCTATACCTTCTTCCAACTTGCATGTACATCTGCAGCTATATGAATTGTCTGAAGTTCATCCTCCCATCTCTTTTTTTCCCTTTTTCTTTCAAAACAAGATGGATATGGGTTGAAAGTAGCTTTCATCTCTAGATGCTTTGAAAACCCCTCTCGAGGACATTGTATTTCTAGACAGTATTGAATTTAAAACACAAACTTGGCATTTTAATCTTTCATGGAAAACTAAACAGTTCTTCAATATTAGTATTACTATTTTCACACACCACAAGGTCAATGGAGAGGGATTCTTCTCGTAAGTATCAACTTTGAAAACTGTGGGGTTGGATAAGAAATGAAATTGCTGCACATGTGCAGAAGGCTGTCAGATGCCCTTTAATGACTGGCATCAAAATTAATATTGTTACACAAGGTATAAACCATTCATTATTGATGAGCAAAGATTCTTGACACTCACTCAGAGACCGTTATTGAGATTACCTTCGTAATATTCTCCTTCCTTGTTAGAGTTTTTCATTGTCATCAGCTTGGAGGTAATGAAAAGGTTGTTTTTTAAGTACATTTTGCATCGTGGGAAATTTCAAGGTTGGCAGTCCATTGCTATCAAGTGGTGTTTTTTGCATGTTTTCAGGGGTTATGGAGAACCCTGGGAACATGTATTTTTAGAGCTGGATTTAGACTGTGTTTTATAATAATGATGAATTATTTAATTCTGGCCAGGTTGTATAAGAGGTGTGGTTGGAGAAGGCATGCCAGGTTACAGAAGACCTTATGACAAAGGAAACCTCTATATCAAATTTGAAATTGAATTTCCACCCAATAATTTCATCCCCTGCGACAAAATATCGGTGAGTATTTTTGTTGTGGACTGTGTATTTAGATTGATTACACTCAGCATTTTAATTAATGATTTATACAACAGCAGATAAACTTTCAGACAACATTTTGTCAGCATTAACAATAAAGTGATGAGAAGTAGTGTATTAATTGCACATGTTTGTGTATATTTGTTTGCCAGGGACAAATTCACAAGTCAATATCTGACTATGAAATCACAAATACTTGCATAAATCTCAATGTTGAGGGCTATAGCAGTACATGAAAAGTTATCCTGGGTGATTAACAGTGAAGTCAAGATATTTCAGTTAATGAATGCTAAATTTTGATGTCCTCCTTGGGAACCAGTGTTGTGTAATATGATAATTAGAAATGTGATATGTTTTAATGTTCCCTAGCTTTTTGTATTTATTTATTTATTTATTTTTATATTTATTTATTTGTTTATTTATTTATCCTTCATTTTCAATCTGATCAAAGTTCTGTACATTTGTTATCACAATGAGAATCCTGTATGTTTGTTTATGTTGCAGTTACTTGAGTCATTACTTCCAAGTCGGCCTAAGCAGCCTTCACCGGGTGAGGATGCAGAGGAGGTGGATCTTACAGAGCTTGACCCCAGGTACCACCAGAAGAGAAGAGAAGCATATGAGGATGGCAGTGACGATGAAGCAGGGCATGGACCTCGTGTTCAGTGTGCGCATCAGTGAATAAAAACTCTTTTAGCAGCCATCTTGTTAAGTGGCATTTTAAACTTGTTCCTCTGAGCTCTTTGGCTGGGTTAGAGGCAAGTTATTCAAGCATTCTCAAATCTTTGTACAGGATCATTTTTCTGACTGATTAGAGAGACATTTATGAGGTTGCCCACACCATTCAACTGAACTCTGATACACTATTCTGAGTTTTTCAGTTTTGTTTAGCTAGAATGTACAGCATGTATCACATCAAATGGACCTGTTTAGTGGGCATTGCAGGCATATAACATGTTGTGACAGTTAGATGTAGTCAGTTGATACCATTATTATTTTGTGCATATGTGTCGAGTAATGTTGGTTATGCATTGTTCATAGCCAGCATTCCTTGACATAGTAATTAATGTCTCCAACCTCTCAGAACATTTATTAAATTATGTACAGTAACATGTCCATACTTTTAAGCAGAAATGTCAGAATTAGAAGTGTTTTTTCTGTCGTATTTCAGTGCTTTAAGTTGTTTCACACCACTCTTCCTTTCTGAAAACAGTAATGAAATACTGCAGTACATGCAGGTGCATAAAATGATTGTGGAATTTTTTTATGTTATAGCAGGTGAGCTAATTTTGAATCAGTGCAAGAAATCATTGTTTCATCACACAAGGAGATGGATGGTGTCTAGCATTTTGCATCAAGAACATTAAAAAAAGATTAGACTTAGTTGTGCAAACATCTTGCCCTTGTAATAATAAACCTTGTTAAGTTTAATATACTCTATGATATTGCCGATATAAATAATTGTGGTGAATGCCCTTTGATTCAAAATTACCTCAAATTACTGTCAAGATGTACATTACTGAAGGGAGAATGGTGCAGTTAAAACGCACCTAACTTCTCGTAACTTTTTTAATTGTTAAAGAGAGTAGGTATAACAAAATGAAAGCGTTTTTAAGTTTATTTGCTGCAAGAAACATCAGCTACTAACAAACTGATTACCTGTGGATAATAAAGTGTCGCGTTTGAATCGACCCTTCTTTAGTGATCCCTTCAAAACACGGTGTTTATTGTCCACTTGTGACGTTATCGCCCTTCATGCAAGATGTTTGTGATAATCAGCTGATATACTGGGAGACATTATTACGTAACATGCCTGAACGAGCATGATGATGAATTGTACCAGAGACTTGACTCCCGGAGGGTTACTCCCAGAAAAGTTGGGTGGGGGTGTGCGGCCCACTTCCCAAAACCCTTACCCTTTTTACGACTAAAATCTGCGATTTTTGTACCCTATTTATGACCTGGCCAAAATTTCGATACCCTATTTATGACCGTTGCGGTTGGCACAGTTGCCCTAAGCATTAGTTATTAAGGGCTTTTGTTGACGGTCTTATTGGTAGTGATGAAAAAGTAGCTTTTTGTAAAATGCTAAAACCATATCCTATTTAAGACTAAAATGACCAAACTCGATACCCTATTTATGACCAAAATGGCTGAAAAACCCTAACCTTTGGGGCCGCACATACCTATATAGCCCACATAAGGAGCACCCCCTCGGAGACTTGATCCTCTATATCAATCACGGGCCAAGTTAAGAATGACAAAAAGGAGAACGAAAGAAGGCAAGTGTGAACTCTTCCTTGTATCTCCGAAGTCCGTCTATTTCCCTTACCTAAGGCACACAACATTCTAGTGTCTTTGAGCGTGTTTACGGGCATACCCCAGGCATTTGACTAGTTGATGTTCCCGGTGGGGAAGGAACTTGGCCTCTGGTTGACCATTTGAAACCTTTTAAGAGGGGTGAGGGGATTTCAATAAGTGGGCCTCGCAGTCATGGTGATGTTAGAAGACGTCAAGAGACCACACGTTCTTTGTATGTAATGCTGTGGTTCGAAGAACAGGGCCTTTGAAAGGTTTGTTCGAAGGTAAATGTAAACGGATTTAGTCGTTTAATATCGTATTTTATCCCAGCGGAAGTTCAAAGCGGGTGATCGATTGCGAATTGTGTTTTATTTCTTTGTACGCTCTGGGGGTAGGGGATTATGGCCCGATTGTGGAGGTTTTTATCCGAATTATTTTGCATTACGGACCGCTAAGATGGACCACTCGGAAATATTTTCGGCAAATCGCTTTTCTAACAGATTGCTCAAAAGAAAACCGTTCTTGAGTAGAAACATATTTCCCTCAAGTCAAGTCAAGTCAAGTCATCTTTATTTAGGCAGGGTAGCCCCATCAGCCATGGACTGGTATCAAAAGGGGCACTGCGTAAAATTAAGACTACATGATAAAAAATTCAGAATTTAATGTATACCACCTCCCAAATCCTGTTTTTGGCGAGGACGATTTGAGGGACTTCCTTCTGGACTCGAGGGTGCGAGGGTATACTTCAAGAAAATCCTAACTGTACTCAACTGCTCGCCGGCGATGTCAATGGACTAAACATATGATCAATCAGCTTTCCTTGAAAGAAATCGTTACAAGGGATATCTCTACTAATAACGGGAACTTTGGCGATAAATGTTAGGGAACAACGGAGTGTTTTAATGGGGAAGGGAGGGAAAAAAATGCAATACATCCCAATTGGGAAGCCCTCTCCTACGCCTTGGAAGGTCGTGCGGCTGAATCGTGGAATCGAGGCTAAGTTTGAGAGACTAAAAAGAATGGCGACTGTACTGAGAAGTGTAAAAGAAATCGCACTGCGCGCAATAGACAACTTTGCGCCCGAACTTTTTCAGCTCAACCAAAAGATTTGGAGAAATCCAGAACTTGGTTACGAGGAAAAGTACGCGCATGAGCTGCTGACCACATTCTTCAGTGAAAAAGGCTTCGAGGTGACAAAGCATCACACACTCGACACCGCGTTCCGCGCCTCGAGTGGTCTTTGTAAAAGGCGAGTTGTCGGGCTTATTTGTGAGTATGATGCGTTACCGGGTATAGGACATGCCTGTGGACATAACCTTATATCTGAGGTTGGAGTGGGGGCTGCCTTGGGTAAGTGGTAAACCCAACTATGATGAAAACCGTAACATAGATCAGAAGCTTGTTACAGCAAGCTCACAGGACTGTTGCAAAAATCACGAGTAAGATTACAGACAGGAATGAATGTCATTAAATACATGTGTAGTTAAAAAGGAATTATTACCAGAACAAAAATTTGCGGAAATCACGGTCGACATATTGAATATTGAGAAGAGGCGCCCTTAGGAATTCAACTGTCTGGGGTACACTGGGGCGTTTTCGTGAAACGATCCACCCGTCAGATCAGAGAAGGTCCAACAACTAAACAGATTCAAGCCAGGCTTCTAATGATTTTGCGATCAGATCTACCCCAACCCTAGGCTCGATTTCCAGCCGTTTTGTGATCCAGTCTCCCTTGCCCCACACCAGTTGGGAGGAGGATAGACAACTGGACTCCCGAAACAGCTGGAAATTGAGCCTACCCCAACCCTTTCCAGAGAAAAATGTAAATGGGGGTTGCTGGGATTTTTGGTTTTGCAGTTTTGACTATTTTTTAGATTGGTTTTTCGGTTTTGGTGTTCTGTGCTGTTTGTGGAATTTCAGTGTGTTAGCATGTGGTTTTCAGTTTTCCTCAAAAGCACTAGTGGGTTTTCTGATTTGGTTTCTGATGCGGTTTTCAGTTTTTCCTTTATTTTGGGTTCCGGGTTTTCTTTGATCTGGGTGGCAATTATCTGCGCCTTTACTGATCTTGAATAGCCATGAAACGCAAAAGATGAACCAGCTAGGGACTGGCCAAAAAGTATCGGGGCAGAGGTGGGTGGGCCGGAGCAGAGAGTAATAAATAATAATAATAAAACACTCTAATAGCTGAGAGGGGTGGGTCATCAGTTTTTGAGCCCTCAGAAAGGGGTGGGTCATTCAATTTTCAGCGACACATGGGGGTGGGTCATCCTATTTTAAAACAGGAATAGGCACTTACTTAAAAGTACTGTTTTTAAGAATGGAAAGCTTGATTCTGCTGCAAAAGCTGGCCACACATGTAAAGCGTTGCAGCATTGCCGATGTGTAATTCATTTTTGTATGTATTAAATTTACATCTGACCAAAATTAAAATGATAAAAATGTCTCTTTTGTGTCATTTTTTAGCATATAAAATGTACAAATTGTATACAATGTGAAAGGATTGCTTTTTGTTTGCATTTCACTGCTATATTGTTCCTTCTATGAGACTACAAGTAAAAGCAACTTAAATTATGTATTTCTCGTCGTGAACTTTTCATAATTATTAAAATTGCCGAAAAAAGACATTTCAGTACTGTTCCATAAACTCTGCCTGCTCAACCGTCATCAGTTCCTCTTGCTCTTCAACTTCATCAATGCTCCCTTCTCGGCTGTCTTGATCACTGCTACTTTGATCACCTGCACTCTCTCCCTTCCCACTCTCTTCCTTGTTGCTTTCTTCCTTATTGTCCTCTTCATCTTCACTGGAGCTGGCATCCTCATTTTCAGTGGTCTCGGTTGCTGCTCTCTTGGTGGCTGGCTTCAGGTTTTAAAGAATTTTTATGTTTTATATGGGGGGTGGGTCATGTAATTTTCAACCTTCATTTAGGGGTGGGTCAATTAGTTTTGTGCCAAAAGGAAGG